TAAACCCTCTAATCGCACACTTGGCTTTGACCATATTTACGTTGTACATCTTGACTCTCGAGCGGATAGGCGTGAAAAATTAGATGAAATAGCTTCCTATCTTGGTTTAGACTTTGATTATTTTTCTGCTATTTCTAAAAACGATGAACAAATTCTCCGCAAGTATGGAACCGCAGATATGTCCTCTTCTCAAAAAGCTTGTTATTTAAGCCATTATTCAATATATAAACTAATAATTGATAAAGGCTTTAATAGTGTCTTAATTTTAGAAGATGATGTGGACTTTGAACTTAACATTACTGCTATTATGACTGATATTCATCGTGATTTACCTGCTTCTTGGGAAATGTTGTATATAGGCTATTGCTTTGAAGATGTTGGTGAACAAGTCGGGATAAGTTCTTCTATACATAGGCTATATAAATCTGTGGCTCCTATGTGTACACATGCTTATGCAGTTTCGTATTCAGGTGCTCGCAAACTAATAGAGCTACTTGATCCTGTGATTCCACGTGCAACAGTTGATTATTCTCTTAGTGTAGTAGTCAAAGATAAGAAAGTCAACTCATTCGATGTTCACCCACCTGCTATCTCGCAATGGAAAGCGGCTGACAACCCATCCGATATTCCAACGTCACAACTATTATCCTTTAGTTTACTAAATTCAACTTTACATTTTCTTAAGCATAATGGTTATTAGTATAAAATATCTTTGTTTTCCCGGGGAAATATAATATATACTGTATTTTTAAAAAAATATATGTATTAAAAAAAAATATAGTAAATATATTTAAGTATTAATTTTATTATTATATTTTTACTAGATAATGTATAATATATTTAATTACAATAATAATATATTTTTAAAATTAGTACTTAGGCCATACAAATTTAGTAACTAGATAGCTGCGCGACCCATCGCGCAAAACCAGGAACGGAAAACCGAAGCAGAGGACAGAATCAATGCATCTGATACTATAAATTTGCGCATAATTATGATTTGTTCCAGCACTAATAGCAGGATATTCAAACTTATTAGAGAGTTACATCATACATCATACATCATACATCGGTATGTTTGATGTATAATTGAAAGAGATATATAGCTTACATCAGTGCGTTTGATGTATAATTGGAATTAGCTGGTGGTTTCCCACTCGCATAAATGCAGGACGGCTGTTAGACAGAAGCTTTGATGTCACATGATCTTAGCTAGTGGTTTCTTACCTGCATAACGCAGGCTGGCTGTAAAGAGATGTTTAAGCTGCCACAAAATGGCAGGATTTTACTGAGGAAGGGTAGGGCAGGGTGTGAAATTGATTTCCCTGCTAAATTTGGGTATATTAGTATTCGCGTCATAAGCTCCTAAAGTAATTTCATTAAATTTATACTTATCTTCCCCTTATATATACCGGATTTTCTTGTTGGAGCCGGATCACCCATATGATCGTCGCTTGCTAATGCATCACTGCTTAGCAGTATTTTCTATCTGTTGACCTACTGTCAACTGAAAGAAGACAGTAGTCATGTGAGTTTTAGCAAATCATCGTTGTAACATGAAAACAATCATTACGCTAAATACAGTATAAATAAAATAAAACAATCATCTAATAGCTCTTTACAGTTAGTGTTAGGATGAGAAAGTTTGTATTCTAAAATCATTCTAACAGCTCTTTATGGTTCCAATTCGGGTAAATCCATCGTCCATATCTGAATCATCTGGATAACTTAGATCTGGATAGTTCGGATAATTATCTGGATAATCCGAAAGGTATTCGGATAATTATCCGGATAATCCGAAAGATATTTGGATAATTATCCGGATAACCCGAAAGATATTCGGATAATCATCCGAATAATCTGAAAGGTACGTATTCAGATAATTATCCGAATATAAATAGTAAACGGATAACCGAATAAACTCAGATCCAAATATCTGATAATTATCTGGTTATGCACTCAAAGATTGGAACTTGATTGTTTAAATGTTAGGATGAGAAAGTTTATATTATAAAATCGTTCTAACAGCTCTTTACGATTAGTGTTAAGAAAGTTCGTATTATAAATTCAATCCAACGTCTCTTTATGGTTAATGTTAGGATGAGAAAGTTTGTATTACTATTCTAATAACAGGAGGAAACATTGATATTACACGACTCATCCCTCACCTGGTGTGCAGCATATACAATACCAGATCACCTTGCTAGTACATGTTATGCTTATAATCCAACATCATTTTTATTATAATAAAACAGGTGTTGGGTTATGATCATAACTTGTACTAGCGGGGTGATCTAATATCGCAAAACAGTTTTTTTATATGTTGTTTCCTTCTTTTCATTCTAACAGCTCCTTATAATTATTGTTAGGATGAGAAATTATCATTCAAGCAGCTCTTTATAGTTAGTGTTAGGATGAGAAAGTTCATATTATAAAATTTTTCTAATAGTTCTTTATGATTAGTGTTAGGATGAGAAAGTTTGTATTATAAAATCATTCTAACAGCTCTTTATGGTTAGTGTTAGAGTAAGAAAATTCATATTATAAAATCATTCTAATGCTAGTATTTTGATTATGTGTGTTTGTACTATGAATTAAAATTTCATAAAGAATCTTTTTATTTTTTGCCGATATGCCTATCACTAATATGTATATTAGTCTTTTCAATAATATATCCAATTCACATAATTCATATATGCAATATTAATTATTCAATAGGTACTTAATATTAATCTTTAACTCAACGATTAAAATAAAAACATTCGCTGATGCGGTATTATATAGTAATTGCATACGAAGTATGCAATAACGGTTTTATTTTATGATTTACTATTTTAGATTTATGAAATAGTTCAATTATTTTATTATTTAAAAATACCATAAAATAATTGATTTATTTTATAAACTGATCATAGTAAAGCATTAAATAAAATACAATATTTATTAATTAAAAAAAAATTTTGCTGTTTTATTGATTTTGCTTTTGGTGATAGACTTTCGGTATAGAACTAAACAAATCTCCATAATTGTTAAATTGAAAAGAATGCAAACAATATAATGGTTTATTGTTTTTCTGTTTTGTCTCACCATTATATTCATAATATGCATTTCAATCAGATGCCCGATGCAGAACAAATACTGTATAAAAGAAGTGCGCCACAGACTGACGCGTTGAAAATCAAAATTTTAATACGTATATAGATTTTTTTATTTTTTATCATTATTTTAAAAAAATAAATATTTAAAAAATAGAAAATTACTGGTAGGGTAGCGGTATCACAAAAAGTGGTTATGGTGATGTATAGTATGTCGTTCATATTAAAGCATCGACAAATCAGTATCATGACGATAGAATTAATTTGACAAATTAATATGTTATAGCGATAGCATGTGCTGTATTATTTGCCGTAAGCACGTATACCAGGTTATGCTGATCATGTGGCGCAGATCCTATTAATAAAATTCTAAAGTTTTTTAAAACTTCTAACGATGATTTCTCAATAACTACTTGATCAACTTCATTAAAATTTTTTATATTCCAGAAATCATCGCTAAAAGTTAAAAAAAAAGCAAAGTATCGGAAAAAAACATTGGGTAAATTTTTTTTTTTCTTTGAATTTTAAACAAAGATTTCTCGACACCCAACTACAGTATTCAAATTTGATGAAAATTTTTTATTTTGATTCTGTGGATACATGTATTTGAAATAAAAAAATTGATCGAATTTGTATAGCGGGTTGTTGAGAAATATTCATTAAATGTTTAAACCATTTTGGCCGCAACTTCTTTTTTAAGACATATAAACTTTGAACGAAGATTACTCAGCACCTATCTGGTCAAATTCGTTAAATTTTTTTTTATTTTAATTCCACGAGCATATGGAATTAAAATAAAAAAATTTTGATCAAATTTAATCAGGTAAGGCTGAGTAATTTTCATTCAAATTTAGGCACATATAAAAAAAAAGCTGCAGCCAAATTTTTTACAAGATTTAATTAATGTTTTTCAACAATCGACTATCCAAATTTGAGCAAAATTTTTTTATTTTAATTCTACGTATCATCAGAATTTAATGAAATTTTTTTTATCTTAATTATATGGGCACTTAGAATTAAAATAAAAAATTTTGACTGAATTTGAATAGTAGGTTGTTGAGAAATATTCATGAAATGTTAAAAAAAATTTTGACTACACTTCTTTTTTTAAGACATCTAAACTTTGAACAAAGATTACTCGATGTTTGCCTGATCAAATTTGATCAACTTTTTATTTTAATTTGAGATACTCATAGAATTAAAATAAAAAAAAATTTGACTGAATTTGACCTGGTAAGTGATGAGTAATCTTCGTTCAAAGTTTAGATGTCTTAAAAAAAGAAGCTGCAGCCAAAATTTTTTGAATAGTTGGGTGCCGCTTCCATTAACCAAAAAAATGTCGATCATATCCCGGATATAATCCCGGACAAAAATTTTATAACTCGCGAACTTTTAAAAAATTAGTCAA